CTCTCTCTCTCTCTCTCTCTCTCTCTCTCTCTCTCTCTCTCTCTCTCTCTCTCTCTCTCTCTCTCTCTCTCTCTCTCTCTCTCTCTCTCTCTCTCTCTCTCTCTCACGAAACAATATACCGTCACTTGAAGATGAAGAAAGATCTTTATAAGAAAGATTTCGATATAGACCAGAGAAGTTGCGATAACGCGACCGGATCAAGTGATTTCATTAGCGAGAAAGTCTAGAATTGAGACACAGCCAATCTCTGTAGCGCGAGTTGCTACAGCGAGAGTTCTTCCGCCTCCTCGTTTCTAATTAGCCAGGCAAGGATCTAGCAGCTAATTGGGGCTCGTGGAATAATCTCGCTGCGGAAAGAAACGGCGCAATAGGTAGCACTTTATAGAGCGATACGAGGACATTTTTATTAATAACCACGCGCGAAATACGGAAGCGAGCGCGTGAATGTCGTGACTTTACAGTGAAATCATCAATTCGCATATGCTTCTGGTTATACGATGTAACATCAGATATATATGTAATCGGTATATATGTGTAAGAATTCTCATTTATACAGACATATATGTAAGAATTATACTATGGATTATATCAAATTTTAAGATTCAAGTCAGGAGGAGGCAACTCGTCCATTAATTAGTAAAATGATTTAATGTCAAGAATTGAGTTAGAGTTACAATTAGATTTGCAGACGATAGGCAATTGCTCCGTAAGAGTCATTCGTTTTTTTCACCGATCAGTATCGACCGGTTGACGGCACAACGTCACCGTGCCGTGCTGCGGCGACAACGACTAAGACGGCGAAGACGAAGACGAAGGCGAAGGCGAAGGCGAAGGCGAAGGCGGCGCATGGAGAACGCATTTTCTCGCCATTCTCACGTGCGTAGATACACACTTTGGCTTTCACACGCATACAAATATGTATTATATGTACGCTGCATATAGGAAAAGGGCCCTTCTCTCGCGCGTCACAATATTCGCGTCGATGCCCATCAGTGGGAAAGGCCTTCCGTCGAAAGCTCACGTTGCGTCTCCCCCACTTTTATCGCAACAACGATGGTGCATGTTGCGCTTATTTAAATAGAAACAGGTTGCGAGAGTAACGCGATAACATCACGCGATTCAAGCTGGTTGGTTCGAATCAATACCTTTATCGATATGGCACTGTGCGATTGGCACTATATGCCTCGTGATCTTGAAATTGAGAAGCGATTTGTGTGACCCGGATGATAACTCTGCTTAAAAATCCTCTATCGATTAATCTCTCTCGCACGCAACGCACTCTAAATCGTTGATCAACAATTTCCAACCAAGCGTCAGTACATCTGCAAATTTTCGGAATAATATTAATTCTGATTCACTTAATTGCGAATTCATCTAATAAGAATAGTCAAAATAACAAAAGGATGCGTGCGGATACATTTAACGTTACATTAGCATATTAGCATTAGCGCGTTTCTTTTATCGAACATTGCGAACGTTACCCGCGAACCAAATTTTGACTCCTTCGATCTAACAGAGTTAACAACTCGAGTTAATAAGCTCGTCGCGAGCACACACGTTCGTCGGTAAAGCTAAAAACTTGGGTGAACGCGAAATTAAGTGGCTCGAGTCAACGGTTTTACAAACGGTTTTTAAAACGATTTTACAATCGCACAAATGATTACAACTACATACCTTACTTATCTCATCTAAAAATTTTTAAGACTTGGACTTTGAGGCGTTAATGAGACTGAAAGACTAAAACGGAGGGTGCTGGCTTATTCGAATATCCCTTTTTCACTCGGATATCCCTGGGATCGAGTGGAGAACGAATCAAGAACCGAGAACGTGAAAGATCCGCACCCGCCAACGGTACACACGCGACTGACTTAGACCGACTTTGAGCTTGAGTTAAACGTGGCGTAATATAAATCACAAAGCATATATAGTATATAGTATTACGAGACAAAACTATCTCATACGTATATGTGTAGCTGCAGCTCTTTTCAAAGATTGGCAACGCGACTTTATTACTCTAGACAAAACACATATATTAGACGAGACGACAATGTCAACCAAATTCTCCGCAGTTTGTCAAAAATATATTTTATAATTTTTGAGACACAAGTTTTTCAAACAGGGAAAACACGCGAGCAGATTATGCGAATTCACGAATTCATAGAGTTTAGATCTGAGCACACGTGATTAATAGACATCTATTAACGGCTACACGATCGACGCGGTATTTTATCCTTGTCCCAATAACTTCATTGTCGGTTGTCACTCTGATTAGTTCAAAATACGACTCTCATCCTGCATAGAGAATTTTAGCTATCTGAAAAAGGCTATTTAGTAGAGTTATCTTCTCATGTTTCATTTTTCTATGCTAATGTTTCAATAAACAATCCCCAATTAGAAGAATCATAAGATAGGTTTTAAAAAAAGAAAAAGAGTAGAAAAACAAGAAAAAGAAGCTAAAAATTCTTAAAAATACAATGTTTATTCAACGTACTTTAAACATGCCATTTACAGTATTCTTTGATAAACTGATTCAAACCGCTTAATAAACTATAAAAGTCGCGTTAATAATTAAACATGCTGAATCGGACATTTGTAATCTTTCCAATCTCTTATATAGAAATCTCTTCGCGCATATATATATATATATATATATATATATATATATTATATAGCTGAGTAACATTTATATTTATGTTTTATCAGCCAGACAATTAAAAAGTATATAAAAATATATAAAAAATAAATATAAGATCATATGTATAGTTAATAATAAAATATTAATACCGAAACACACTTACAATGACAAAAATATTACTTACCTAAACAACAGCATAAAAATTTAAACATGAGTATCAGATAGGTCCTGTAAACGATGTGAGTCAAATCAAAGTGTTCCAATAGAAATGAGTCTGTTGTAACTGTTGAGAGCGAACTAGCATGGTCCAATAAATTAGTAGTTTTAAAGCCATTTTCATTATTGTTCAATATAATATTGTCATTGGGTAAACCGATTCTAAGTAATTCGTCGATGATAAATAGAGGTGGTACTCTCATGATAACATCAGCGAAGCTAAGAATTCTTTCTCGTAGCGAAGTCTCCATCTTGTTTGCACTGCCTGAAGAATCCCGTTGAAGGAAGACGTTATTACGCACGCCTTGTTATACATATGGAAGAAGCATTCCGTTATGAAATCGTACAGACCTGATGCAACAATGAAAAATTATTCAGAACAATCCATAAATAGTTTTATAAATAGGAAAATGGAAGAAAATGATTTCTTTTCCAAGAAAATAACGTTTATATCAATTTGTACATTGCACGTCACGCAAAATCGGAACTACTTTGAAAATTTATTTATATCGATGCGAATCTAATTATACAATAATACGCGTATGAATTTGAGGTTAAAATATATTCTGTCAGGAGACATTACCTGTATCGCCTAATAAAAGCGTAGTGTAATTGTATCTCCGATTAGATTTAGATTGCCCAAGATAGATTTTGTGCGCACGCGACATTAGGATTGACTCGAAAATAAATATCTCGAATCTTATCATTATCATCACACATTGCTAGTTCTTACATATCGCGCGTTTGTTTGCTTGCTCCCTTCCCCCCTCCCCCGTCATTCTCCCTCTCCCTTCCATTCCTCTCATTCTCTTGCCCCCTTGCCGCTACGTAACCTGCTGACTTTTCCGCTAATCTCCATCTCCAGCAATATTTCGTTAAATGATTCTACAATTTACATCCTTCTACAAGTTGTACAATGTCGCTCACCTCGAAAATGAAGGCTTCGCCTGTGTTCTCGTTCTCGCGCTCTTTCACTCGTTTAGCAAAAAAAAAACTGTCATTATTTTTTGATTCCTTGACAAGGTCCGATGATAAATTTCCCATGCAAAAGCATTAAAACAAATATATATACGTGCCATATGTAACGCGACACATTTAAATGGATAAGGAGAAAATTGCCGCGTATTGGCGAACGGTGAACGAAAGACATACAGATGAGATAATGATGCGAGTGCTGATGGGAAGTATTAACGGATAACCTTGCAAAATCATATGTACAATCTCGCAGCATTGAAAGCGGAAATAATTTCGATTTGCTATTTAAAATGCAGAGAGAGAG